CAGCCTTGTGGTCATGATTTTGGGGAGGAAATGCCCCAAAAGGGAACTGAAACCCTTCAGTTCTTCGTGTCTGTGGAGGAAAGAGCTGTCACAGCCCGGGATTCTCATCCTGACACCCAACAGATCTGCCAAGGTCGCTGCTGAACTCACCCAGCTCAGAGCTGCTGTTTTCACCGCAGCCCTTTTATAAATAGGACAGGCTCAGCTGCTTAGCAGTCTTATCTCCACCAATTACCAGGGATAAGAGCTCCTCGTGCTGCAGGGTTCAGGCCTCTTACAAAATATGGGGAAGAACGATCTGCCACTGGAAATGTTTATTTTGGAGCAGCCGATGTCAATCGTTGTGGTTGTAGCGGGGATTTATCACTTTCACCCCAGTGAATTTGGTAGAATCCATCCCAGCTCAGAGGACAATCTGAAGGGTGGCTGGAGGTGTCCAAGCATCGCTCCTGGGTTGGTTTTTCACTGTGGGTTTCAGTTTTTTTGGCTCCCTAAAGCTCAATTCCTGCCCAGGGCCATGTTCTGGCRTCCTTTGACACTTTAAGAACCTCTTTCAGCACATTAAAAACATTTGAGGCTCAGGTTTCCTTAACCTCACAGAACTGTGTGTTGTTGCCTTAATTCCTTGCACACTTTCCTCTGGAAAGAAGAGAAATTTTAGCTCCAAATCCTGTACTTTCAGGAGTGGTGTAACATGGCCTGTGGTGTTTTCCCAYATGCAGCAACCGCTTCCTCTTTCTCAAGTTTGTTTCAGCACATATTAACCATCGTTTATTTCCAGCTCCCAGGTTCCTCAAAAACAAATTTCTACATAAAGGAAGAAGAAAAAAAAGTCCCCAATTGCCCCATTCTCGTATGGTGCAACCTGTTCTTACTTCTGTTCTTACTTTGTGGATTCATCGTGGTGTGATTTACACAGGGAGCTTCATGTGTGAGTGGGGCCTCTTTAAAGCAGATTTGATTGAAGATGTAATTTCAAAATTACAAAACCTGATGGGTTAGGTAACTGAAGAATTGTTTTCTTGCTGGCATCTATCCAGGGGCTCGATCCTCCCTCAAAGTTTGTGACAAAGCTCCTGATGATTTCAAGGTACCGAAACCTTTTTTTTTTTTTTTTTTTTTAGATCAAGTGCAGACTGGAAAATGGTTTCCTACGTTTCAGCACTTAACTTTGCCTTTGAGATTGAGTGATTCTCACAAAGTGGCGTGCGCTGTCAAACGCTTTTGTGTCAGAAAGGGTGTTTACCCCATGACGAAAGGCCAGATCAGGGTAAAAGTTGGTGCCAGGAATTGTGARGAGATATGAGCAGGGTGGGAGTGAAGCTTTTGCCAGCAGCCACACCCTCAGCAAGGGCGGGGTGGGAGCTGGAGGGCAAAAGGCAGATGGAGAGGAGGGGATGGTGCAGTCTGAGCCTGCCCTGAGAGTGCACGGGAGGTGAGATGGTGGGACATGGATGGGATGGGATGGGATGGGATGGGATGGGATGGGATGGGATGGGATGGGATGGGATGGGATGGTTGGATGTGGGATATGGGATGGTGGGATATGGGAGATGGGATGGTGGGGTATGGGAGATGGGATGGTGGGATATGGGAAGGCTGGAGGGATGGGATGGTTGGGAGTGTGATAGGGGATGGTAAGATATGGGATTGTTGGAGGGATGGGATGGCTGGAGGGATGGGATGGCTGGGGGTGTGATATGGGATGGTGGGATATGGGGAAGGCTGGAGGGGTGGGATGTGAGAAATGAGACTGTTGGGAGGATTGGCAGGGTGACTGGAGATGGGAATGGTGGGATGGTTGGATGTGCGGGATGGAGGGAGATGAGATGGTGGAAGATRGTGAGGTGGTTAGAGCGGTGAGATTG